CCCCCCCCCCCCCCATTTAATGGTTTACCTTTATTAGTGTTTTGGGCCGCGGATCACCAGGCCTTCCAGGATGCATGGCCATTCTTAGGCGGTGTATGCCAATTTAATTATTAATAATTTTCTTTCTTCCGTTTTCCCTTTTCCCTTTTCTTTGTTTTGAAAGAAACATGTTTTTATTCGTCGGTCCTCTCCTCGCCGTTATTTGTTTTATTTCCATTTTATATGGGCCATTTTATGCCCACATTTATGATGCCAATGTAAGCCGAGGAAGAGCAGATACCTGTTCGTTTGCTTTTTGCGACTATTTTGGGCGAGGAGATAGATAGTGTTTGAGCTCTTTACTTATGGAGAAGCGTTTATACCAGGTTGACGTGGATAATTGTTGAGGTGAAGGTTTGCCCCCCTGGAGTGGCGGCTGAGTGTTGGTTTGAATTACCACTCGAAATCATCGATAACAAGCGGGGAAGCCTAAGGTGGTGACAGGGGCAGGGTGGATGGGGTGGAGGTAGAAATGAAGGTAGTAGTAGTACGGTTAAAGCCAACCAAGGACAATGTTGAATAGATAGCAAGACTTTTGGTAAATGTTGCAGTGAAACGTATTTAGTCGATGAGTGGCGATGCTGACGACAAATATAAAATATAAAAGGTATAGATTCAAATTCATACACGTATTCAACCGGTAGTAGTAGAGAACTGGGAAATACCATTTCAACTTTTCTCAGCGGTAGCAAAGCGAAAGAAAAGATATAAAATTTATTTCTCTGGTTGCTAGGTATGGCTCAAGGCTGTTGCGTAGCGTTGTCACTTTCACGGGGGGTAGAACGTTTGTGATTTCACCAGATGAGATAGATAGCCACTTTCCCGTCAGGACTAAGTAATAAGCATATTATGCGAATAGGTACTTAACCGCGTGCTCAATGTGGTCATCCGAGAACGTCGCTATGGTATAGTAGCTGTGATCGTAATCTGCCTGGTACCGGATATTTATGCCCTCAACACCAGCTTCCTTGGCCGCCTGAGCAAAGTTTTCCGGGAGCAGTTGGCCCTGTTCATAGAAAGTGTCGCCAGTACCCTGCAAAATCAAGCAGATCGATCAATAAAGGCCACAGACGGACGCCTCAATGGGCCAGAAGTGAGAGAGAAAAAACAGGTACATACCACATCAATCAGCGCATTAAGAGGGCCTTTCCACTTTTTAACAAGCTCAGTGGCATCATATTCCTTCCATTTTTGAACGTCATTGCCCAAGTATCCTTTGAATGCCTTTTGACCCCAGGGGCAATTGATCGGGTTGGAAATGGGAGCAAAGGCAGAAACGGATTTGTATTTTCCTGGGTTTTTTAAGAACTGGGTAATAGTAAAAATTAAAAAATTAAAAATTAGCCATGTTAGGCCTATCTTTCTGCCTTTCAAGTTTCCCCGGATAAAACCTGGGGCTTGGGAATGACTACCTACCAAAGTCAACGCGCCGTGTCCGCCCATGCTATGGCCCGTAATACCGACCCGTGTCGAATCCAACTGGTCAAAAACAGCAAATACTGCCTTTGGCAGTTCCTCTGTGACGTAGCTGTACATGTTATATCCCTTATCATAAGGAGCATTGGTGGCATCAACGTAAAAGCCGGCGCCGGTGCCAAAGTCCCAAGAGTCGTTCTCGCCCTCGACATTTGGGCCTCCTGTGGTTTCGGTCGATTTGAGAATTAGCCAATTGTTCAAATTCTTGATTATATCATATCTGACAGAAAATCAGGATAAATATAATTAGCATAATAGAAACGTTTTGAGTACAAACCACACGTACGAGGACTCGTGTCGGGATAGAGAATCGCAATCCCTCGCTTGCTAGCTCCATGCTGGAAAAATCCCTTCTCGGAGCAGTTGTCCGCTGTGCAAGTGAGGCCGGAAAGGTATATCAGGACAGGAACTTTCTGTTTTGGGTTTTGGATAGCTTGTGGAGGTAGATAGAGATTAAATGTCATTTCGCAGTTGGTAGTGGTGGCATCGTGAGCAAGCTTGAGCAGTTTCCCACCAAAGGAAGCGATTGTTGCTTTGGTTGTGACGGACATGGTAGTTGGTTATACAGTTGTAAGGAATTACAATTGGTTGATAGATGTAGAGAGATTTCCAGCTAGTTGCAATTGAGGAATGCGATTCAAGGAATGCTGCTAATTGATTCCCAATATTATTGCCGAGTGGGACAGACGTCATGCGGGGAAGAGGGGCGGGATTAGAAAGTCTCAAAACAAATTTCCTATGATAGCTAGATTCCTCTCACCAAGAACTGCATTTGAATACGCACGGCACATACATATACCAAACCATTATCAGAGTTTTTATTCTGAAGAGCTACACAAGAGTAGCAGTACGAAGAATTAGTATCTATACGATTCAATACTAGGGGAACCTGAAAATGACAATAGCTTCAACGAAAACGATAATCTATTTGCTACCCAATGCAACAAATCAACCGCTATGCTTCAATGCCATGTCCGATTTGCAACCGTGTCTATCAATAACTTTACAGTAAATGGTCATCAGTAAACATGTAAGCAGTAAAAGTTAAACTGAAAATGAAAGAAGAAGAAGAAGAAGAAGAAGAAGAGAAAAAAAAACAAGTGATAGACTCTGCGAACAAAAACCAAAGAGAAACCCCTTATTTCAAAAACACCGGAACACCATACACCACTGGAGCTGCTCCGTTAAGATATTGCAAAATGCAAGCACTTCGGGAATTAGCAACTGCGGTATCAAGTCCTACTGGACCACCCATTTGGGACGGCTTTATTGGTCTAGGAAGAAGAGGATTCATAGTCTTTGACCCTTTAGTTCTGCTTGCTTGCTTGGTCTCAACTGGCACCTTGTCCATGAGACCCCATTGCTCGAATGTGGATTGCGCAAAACGGTCGATGTCCTTATCAGTAACATCCCAAAGAGTGGCTACAAGAGCGGGTGCCCCAGCATGCATATAGTTGATCGGTGTCCCATACGGCTCGAATTCGCCCGCTTCAGTCAGCGAACCACTGCTACAACCCATGAGGAAGGTGACAGCACACCGATCTAAGCGCTTGATAGTCCTGCCCCGAATATATTGGGCCCCACTTCCATGACCAAAGTAGAGAAGTAAATCTTTGCTTTCCAGATATTCCTTGAATTCATCTTCACTTGGTTCTCGGTTGGTGATCCCGCTCCACCCATCCAAGCTTAACAATGAATTTTCAAAAGTATTTTGGGTCGATTTTAAGTCCCCTCCGGGGTTGAGAATATATGAGCCAAGATTTCGGTCAATGCGGAATCCATCAAACCGCTCTCCAAGATCATTGTTGGCTTGGAGGTTTGACAGCGTGACTTTCAGATGATGTAGAGATGGCATTCGAGAAACAGAGGATCCGCGCAAACAATTGAGGGACTCCCATGGGAAGGAGTGAAGCTCTTTGTCGAGAATGAGTATTGTGTGGCCTGACTGAGTGGATATCCTATCCCTTTTCTCATTTTCCTTATAGCAGCGAATCGCATCGAGAGTCTCAACAACCATCAAATCGAAATCGATTTCGTCATATGCATTCCTTTCCCCGTGGAACTGGAGTATGTCGACAACGAAATACAAAAGGTCCATAACAAGGTCTTCCGCGTCTGAGCAGTCGTCAATATTCCCGATGTTGACGAACAATTCCATAACATCCTGGTGGAAATTCGGTTTATGCACTCGGCCTCTTCCACGTTGTCTTCTTGATGGAAGGTGTTTGTCGAGAATTTTCCCAAAAGAGTCAATGAACCGGGAAAGAAGAGAAGTATTTCGTGGGGACTGTGAGAATATGCCGCGGAAACCGCCAAACCAAACAGTTTCGATATTGCTAAGGAGGTCTCTAAGGCGATTATCTAACGATTGGCGCGTAGACCACCATTCCCTTTTCGCACTCTTTTCGACACGGGCTCGGGCGTTGTGTGCGCTCTCATTGGCTAGCCGAATGTTTTCTAGGAGTTCTTTTTTTCCTTCTCCAAAATCGGAGTCGTCCGCATCCATCTCCTCCAAGTTTCCCCTCTTTAATGGAAGACGGAGCAAAAAGGGTGGCTTTCCAGAGCGTAACTTGGATATGATGAACTCCTTATGGTCCTCGCTTACTGTTAAAGAAAGGACGTTCCACGTATTTGGCAAGGTATCCACATAATCTAACATAAATTCAGTGGATCTGAGTTCATCGGCTTTCGCAAAATTGTTGGGTAAAGCTGGCCACTTCAAAGGTTCAACGGAGCCACACAGCTCTTTGTCAATTGCAATAGAAGAATGCTCTCTCAAGAAGGCCAAGTTTCGTCCGTTTTCTACTTACAATTCTCATTTTAGCATGGGTTGCATCTTAATTATGATATTTCTGATACATACCTATCGAAACTGCGGCCTGTAACGGGCCGGAGAACCCTTCCAATTTGGAGGATGTCGCATGTGACACCATGCATATTTGGCTTGAAATGTACGAAATACTGTGGTTGTCGTTGGTTGAACCGTAAACAGGGGCGGAAGAAGCAATAGCGGGAAGTAAGCTACTTGCTGTGAGTATCGTGTCAGCGAAATCTTTGGGGCGAGCCCGAGCATGACTTTTCGTAGTCGACGCCCCAACTCTTGTTCTAGTTGTCGGAACTAGCCTTTTCGTGCTGCGAGAGCCCGTCGAAGATGGCTTTTCTTCCACAACTTCATTTGTTAGATTTATCATTGGTAGGGATATTGTAGATTCTGGCAGAACACAGTACACAGCATGGGTAGTGAGCTGTTGGATCCAATTGGCAAGTAAGAACTGCGCCTTGGTGATCATATAAGACATCTCGCGAGTTTTGCATTTTGGGAGCCGCTCTGCCTGTTCAAGAAGGGCAGACGCATCCGCAAAATCTTGTCTCGACAACAAATCCTCTATCTGCTGATTTAGCAAATCGACTCGGAACTGTGAAAACGAGAGCGGTTGGAGTGCGGTTTCGCCAGTCGAACCAGTTGGGACTCTGGAATCGGAGGGGGGGGTTTCCAGCGTTTTTGCGCATCTTGCCTTTGTTTTCCGACTACCGGAGGCTTTTTGACGCTGTTTTGTAGTTTTTATTGTCAGCTGGCTCATTTTTACTTCAAAATCGGGCTCCAAAGCTAGATCGTCTGTTGGTTCGGCTGTGGTATATCCTGATATATCCAATAAAGTTTGATGAGCCAACTGAAGCGATTTGTTTCTCTCATCCAGGTTTCCCCGAAGTCGGTGAAAGAGGGAGAAAGTCATATGAAAAGCTACCGTATCTAGATTTTGATCAAGCGAATTCGATGCGCTCGAGGCAATATCTAATAGCTCATGGCCTTTATGAACGTGGCCGCCGCGGAGCCAGGAATTTCCCAGTTCAGCCTGGGTGAGGAAAGTAGAGGACGTGGCGCCGATAGCCTTGCAAATTTTTAACGCCTGCTCCCCAAAATAGATGCAATCCTGAAAAAGGCCATTGTGAGCGGAAAGTCTGGACAGGTTGACAAGTCCAATGTGATGTGAGGTAAAAAGCGGCCAATACAACGAGCCCTCACGGTAGTTATCCCGTGTGCCGTCACCATCTGATGTTAAGCCGATCCCATTGACCTTGTTGGAGAGATCATCGATATCTGAGTCGGAAGAATCAAGGGTTTTACATCGCTTCATCTCCGAGATTCTGTCTAATTTTGCCCATATTCTGTTGTTGAGTTTAACAGCACACCTGGCAAAAAACATGGCACGGTTGACGGATCCAAGTTCGAAATATATTCGAGAAGAGATATAGGCAGCTTCAGATATCAATCTTTCCCAAGCTAGTCTAGTCTGAAAGCTTGAATTCAATGCACAGCTAGTATTTTGTTCAAAGATGACTTTGGCACATGACAAAGTGTCCATTCTAGTTCATGTCAGCTCAGTTGGAAATTAACGGCATAATGAATGTAAGGGGAGATGGGCCAGTTAAACTCACGCTTGGTCAGTATTTCCTATAGCTATCAGATATTCCGCGAGCGCAACATTCCATGAAACTAATACCAAAGGCGGAACGTCGATATGACGGAGAAGGTCCTCCCCACAGTTAAATATAGGTCCCGCCATGTCAAGATAACCAAGGCGACTATACTGAAGGCCAAGGTGAGACAAACATGATATCATCTCTGGAAAGTCCTTCGTCTGCTGAATCTCCAACAGATGTCGAAGTGTTGATAACGCCGATATCCTAAGTTTCCATAAGCCGAGCACTTCCAAATAACTGACAAGCACTTTCAATTGTGAGAACAAAGCGTCCGGGTTATCGACTTTTGTAAGTAAAGACTCCCATGTCCGGCAACTTTGTGCAGTTGCAGCCCAAGCGTGAGTGATTACCTGCAAGTTTTCAGGAGGTAGCTCTCCCTGAAAGAATCCCAAGGTCAGACGGAGAGAGGTCAGCATGGATTCCTTGAACAAGAAGAGGCCGGAATCCTCCCCGATGTCGAGTTGGTCCGATAAAAATAAGTTTGCTTCTGCTAGGATCGTTTCAAGAAGTTCGGGCCTAAATTGATTAGGAACTTGTAAACAAAAGCGGATAGTGTGAAGGACTACTCGCAATCGCCTTATTGGATAAGTTTTTCGTGGATATCGATCAAGTAAAGCCGAAACTAAAAAGGATAACGGCGATATCCTCGAATGTGTTTCTCCACTTGAAGATGTATCTAAAAGTGCCATAACTTGACATTCAAGTAAGATTCCTCTCTCGTCGGATTCCAGATTCGCATCGTCAAAAACCGCTTCACAAGGATCATAACCATGTTTCCAATAAAACCGAGTATAGCTCGACAAAACCCGGCCCAAGAAAAAGGAAGGATCCTGAAGGATGTAAGATAGTGGTTGAGTCGCAGCATTCCGAGCCGTGCTTTTCAAAACACCACTTTTTATATGAGCCTGAATAGCAGACCGATACGCTGCTTGGGAATTTTGGAATTGAGAAACATCAGAGTACATAGTAGCTAGCCGTTCGTATTTGATAGCCACAAATCCCACTTTGTTTTCGGGTGGACATGTCCGCAGAAGACTTGTTGACCGCTCCAATAGGGTGATGAGATCGGCAGACGATGCCCCAAGTTCTTTTTGTTTGACATAGCGGGACCAGTACAGGTTAGATAATTTGACGAAACTGGCGGATGTTAGATCAGTATAATCATTTGCACTCTCAACACTCTCTGCAGAATGTAAATATTGAAGGAGAGTGTTGCAATCGGACAAAAGAGGTTGGATATCTGCCCATGACGGGCGTTTGGTGACAACTGATATTTTCCCCACCGCAACAACCGAATCAACAGCTGCCAATCCAATATTTTTGCATTTCAGAAACCGTTGGTAAAATAAACAATTGACATCGTTCCCAGAATCCGAGTGAGTTGGGACCGCTTGTCCAATGTAACGAGTCAAAAATCTCACGAAATTGTGGAGATAATCAATGATGTAAAGCGCTAGAGTCTTTTGCCCCGAGAAGCCTTCATTTTCGTCTAGGGCATCTTCGCCGAGTGTATTCAGAAAAGCCATCGCTGCCTTCTTAAGCTTTGCTGATTCTATAACTAACTCCTCTAGATCAGATTGATTCCCCCTTAAAGGAGACGCCAAGCATTTCAATGCCTCCGACACTGCTGAGACAGCTTTAGATGGGCGGCCAATTTTCGGAATGTGCAACATCTCCAATCGTAAAAGAGCGATTTTGCAATGGCAAATACCAAGGAGGAGCGGTTGGTCAGACGTGAGAGACGAAATGCAGTCATCAAAAAATTTCAGCGCGTCGGGTTTGCATTCAGCACTCTGTGCTAATTGGCCAAGAACTTTCATCACTATTGATACGGGACCAACCTTGTTGGCAGAGGGCATGAAAATATATCCTTGTGCCGTTACTGTTGATTCTAGACGAAGGAAAGCTTGCTTCACGAACTCAAAATCGCTTTTTGTTATGGCCGGACATCGTTTGGAGAATGTCGTGAGATAACGAGCTAGCGGTTGCCACAACTCTTTCTCCATATCGCACTTGTGTCCACAAACCTTCCACCATACACATCGTATTTCCAATGCCAGTAGTTGGAGATTCAAAGTAGCCTTAAATTTAATGGGAGGTTTTGCAGGGTGACGTTTTCCATCTTCGGTATCTGGCGACGGTGAAGCGAGGGAAAAAATAGTTTGCGAAAGAGATAATAACTGCTGTGCCGCCTTGCTGTTTTCTAAAACACCTTTTTTCCAAGCTGTAAGAATAATACTAGCAGGGCTGCTTGGTTGTGACAGCAAAAGTAGATCCGAAAGCTTATTCACGATGGCCACTTTCTTTTCAGTGGTGATGGCCTTTAAAACATGAGCCTGAAACGAAATGACTAAATTCAGGAGTTGTCTATCAGAAGGTATGCTGTCAAACAGGATAAGTTCTGCTAGTGTTTCCTTAGACGGTTCGTCCCACTGGTCGGTGTTGGCGTGTTTCGTCGCGCGCTCAGGGTTCCCTTTCGATGTTTCGTTCATCATATATCCTTTTATCCTCCTCTTCAGCTTTCTCAGTTCGCTTATTGCAGGTTCAATCAAACCAACAGCAAGAAGCTTCCCGATCAGGACGCAAAAACCTTGCTCTAGTTGGCTATTGAATTGCAGGGTTTCCACCGAGGGAGGTGGCCTCTGGTCTCGAACATATGACAACGCCAATCTAGCACAATTCGCAACTTCCACAACCCCACAACTTTGAATTCTCGTTTTCGGCGTAGGCTTGTCTATAACTTTCGTCTTTACGGGAGAGCATGTGGTCGAATTCGGCGAGACAGGTTGCAATGGCCGTCTAGGAGTCAACGCCTTTTGTGGAGTGTCAACTCTGCTTTTCCGGGGTTCTCGAGACTCTTGACACTTTGAGGAGAGCTTCACATAATCGGAAAGTGCCTTTGACGCGGAATTGAATACGTCCGTGGCTAAAACAAGCTTCTCTTTCTGCGAGAGCCCATCCTCTGTTCCAAGCGATGTTTTGAGTGGAACATATTTAGCAGGAGTTTTGGCCTGGACTGATTTGGCAACCTTTTGCCCTGTTGATTGTTTTGGTCGTCTCGTTGACTTGGCACTTTTGCGTGCTTCATCGTGGTCATTGGTGCTGGCGGAGTTCGCGGAGAGGAGCTTTTTTAGCAATAACGTTGTCTCGCTGGTGCATGTAGACGGAAACTTGACAGCTTGCTTCACGGACACTTCCAGAGTGTGCATGGAACGAGCTATTTCATCCATTTGTGCGCTCTAAAACCGATATTGTCGTAGCTGTCAATGAAGTTGGCCATGTTCCATGTTCAACCGCGATGATGTCCGCGAGTGGCAGAAGTTGTCTAGCTAACTAGTTAATGGTTGCCGGGCAACCATATTGATTATATAAGCAACCATATTGCAAAAAATCTCCAATGGCTTTAGCGTATTTTTTCTCTTCTGATATTGAACTACGACTTTTGACATTATCCCATTTTCCCTCTCTACTCCAACATTGAGAAGATAATATTCATTCTCTACAGTGAAGAATCATATTTTATTATGTCCTCCCGATCCTTATTATTGAGGCATTGTTGCCGCACAAATCCTCCCAATCCCATCCTGTTCCGATCCAGCCTGCCAACCCAGCATCTTTCCCAGCTCCGATGTCTTGCAACGGGCCGGGTAGTTCCCAAGATCCTGGAACCTTCGATGTGGACCTCTTTGGTTCCAAAATTCCTTCGAAATGGGAACTCGCGTGGGACAGAGACCGCAGGCCGAAAATCTAGAGCGCCTAATCCAGCTACATTTTATGTAATCATGTTCACTCTCATCGGCTCTCAGGCAATTCGTATGATTATGCTCCGAAATGAGTGTGCGAATTATAACCGGAGTGCGGATGCGAAAATGCGGCTGCTGAAAGAAGTTATCGAGCGAATTCAGAAGGGGGAAGATGTGGATGTCAAGAGACTATTGGGAACCGGGGACGAAGCAAAAGAAAGGGAGTGGGAAGAAGGTAATTATACCGCTTGATATATGTGAAGGAAACCAATATTAATTGATTGGATCCTTTAGTGTTGAGAGAAATTGAGCAGGAAGAATCCCTATGGCATTCCAGGTCGAAGCGGACGCAACGCGGAGATGCATCAAAATCCGATGGTGATCTTGATGATTCCCAACAGTTAACTACGCAACACCATGGGGAACCGGGTGGGGCAACCAAGTATCAACCAACCACTTCTAATGATGTATCTACTGCGGAAAGGAGCAACCCTCAACGACCGTCCAGTTTCTTCTAAACATTCCGTCCCACACTAGTATACGAATTCGACATCGACCTTGTTACAAATTTTAAAATGTCCTTGCTCCCAAAATAATCTCGGACAAAATACCTCCTCACTAGTCAGAAACATGTTCCTAGCGCAGCCCGGACATCATTATGTTTGCTTGACACGCAAAATTCAACATACATCCCTGACCGTGCTTAGCCTGTTCCATCCAGTAGCCCCGTTGCACCTATCACCACCTCACTCATCCAGACCGCCTCCATGGAATAAGCCTCGGGTTTTGCTCGGGCACTGAGCATTGATGTTGAACCTGACGCACTCACTTTTGCATCTTTTCGTCTATGCTGATGCACCTGTTCCGGACCCCAGCATATGTAGCTAATAACTAGAGAACTAGAAAGGCACCGAGAAGGCTCTGGGTTAATTACTATTAGCTTCAACGCTGCTGCATGAGCTCTAAATACCAAAAGGCTGAACAACCGATATGTCCAGGTTCTGCAGGGTTCGGTATACTGTCATCAGGCTACAGCGTGGGACAATACAGGAGAACGCAGCTTGTGGTAGCCGTAAAAAAAGGAAAAGAAAAGAAAAAGAAAAGAGGTGGTAGAGAGGTATATTCATGCATAAAACGCAGCAAACTACGGTATTAAGAATTCAGAGAGAAAAGGATAAATTATATAATATACAGTGTACAGTATGTTGAGTCTCAATTTCGGGAGAAATAACAAAAGAATTCACCAGACAAGGAAGCCATTGAAGAGTTAACAAATTGTATGTTAAGTGTGATCCGACGTCGCTAGATGATTCCACTTGCGGTGGCTCTGGAAACCAGCGGGCCATATCCACATCGATATATCATTGGTAGATATATCATCGCTAATAATCTGCAGAGATGTTTAATGCAATCAGATCTGTGTCAAAACTGTTAGAGTAGTGCTGCCAGTGTCGTTGAGCATTGTGATGCCAACGGGATGATATGACGGTGACCCAGGACTAGGAGCAAGCCGAAGCCGTGCGAATATTCAAGCTAACAATAAGTATTAACAAAAATTGTACAGAATACGCAATCTAGAAAATGATGATCCCGTGCCCCCGCCTCCGATTTCTAGATGGGGGCCGTACGTCACCGATGAGCAAGTTACTGCTGGCTTAAGGGCTGCTGAGGGTTCGTGAATTTATACTGGAAGGTCAGATCAGCAGAAGAAACAGCCCATGTGGACAGCTGTAATACATACTAGTACCCCTGAAGATCAGGACCATCAAACATATGTGCCATGAGCCTGGGGAAAACATTTTGGAGGTCAACAACCTTGCCAACTTGGACGTTAAGGGTCCGAGAGAACTCCTTCGTGGTAGATCGATGGCAGCGCGCAAGTTAGTCTTTTGCCCTTCACTGGTTGGATTGTCAATCCTTCCATGATGCGACCGTCAATATCCCATTGAATTGGGATCACCCAATGAAGCAAGCCGGTTAGAGCATCCAAGCATGTTTGCGGTGCTGAGGATGTTCCGACGCTACTGTTCCTATCCTCTTGGCTCATCTCATTGGCCATCACATCATGGCCTGAAAAGTGTGGCTGTGCCATCTACAACATGATACTGTGCCTTTTTTTTTTTTGCCTTTTTTTTTCGTGTTACCCACCATACAAAAGAAAAAAGGGACTTTTCTAAACTTGAATCAGCTTTCAAACTAAGTGTTGGGGGGCGTGGGAATAGCTAGAAAGGAGAGGAGAGCCAGAAACCAAGGGCGCCAACTCAACTGACCAACAAGGATTGTCCGTGTTGCAGGTTATATGTTGACTGCAGAAGCGCGCCACATCAGGAGACGATATTAATAAAAAAAAGTATCTCATCGGGTCTCTGATCCTGCTCTATCTACTTCCCCTAGAATGTTTCCCCTGTGCGTGTACTTCCGCAGTGTCCACGGCCTGTTATCAACTTGAACTCAGGGGTCGGATTGAAAGCCTCAACATGTCCGTGCTAAACAGCCACGAGCCCCCTCCCCCACCGTATAGCTTCGTCGGGTCATCGCGGTTCTCTTCTCCTGCGCCATCTGTTCGTCACTCGCCCCCACCGTATCATCATAGTCCGTTGTCAAGTCAAGAATGGTTATCGAACAACCCCCCTTCAGGAGCCCCTCAAAACAGTAGACCTCCTAGACTGCCGCAGCTGCCGCTACATCACAGCCAGAATCTAAGTCAAAATGAAAATACAAACTTGGCGCTGCGCCAAAGGCAGGAGGAAGTCAGGCTCTGGTAAGCTCCATAGAAACTACTCATTTTTCTTCGACCATTCACTAACCTGGAAATAAAAATATTAGCCCAAATTACATTGTGATTCCCATAATGGGACTAACGGGGTCAGGGAAAAGCACTTTTATTTCCCTTTTGGCCGACGGGCCGGGTGACTCTATCGGCCGCGGTCTCGAAGGATGTATGTTTACTCCCCTGCCATATCAGATTCATCGCAAATAAACCAGCCAGCCTGATCTTCCCTCCGATTTATCTTTTCTCTGATTCGACTTGCATAGGCATGAACAACATCGAAATCTACCCGTACCAAATTAACCAGGCAACACGAGTGATCCTCGTAGATATTCCAAGCTTCAACAACGCCAGGAGAAGCGACATCACTACTCTCAGCTCCATCGCCAATTTCCTTTGCCAGATCTACAGCAACGACATTAAGCTGGGCGGCGTCGTATACCTACACGACATAATAGCTAGGCGCATGGACAGCGCTGCCTTACACAGCCTACACATGTTCAAAAAGCTCTGTGGCGCAGAGGGTTTATCCAATGCAATCATGATCACGAACATGTGGGAAATCCTACCCACGTTCGAGGAGGGGGTAAGTCGCGAGAGGGAACTACGCGATCGTTACTGGAGCGGCATCCTCGGCCACGGAGGCATGATGATGCGTCATGACGGGAGCAGGTCATCAGCGAAGGAGATTATCAAAACCTGCCTCCGGTACAACCAACACCTCATAGCACCCCTGGGCATACAGCGTGAAATGGTCACACACGGCCAGCAACTGAGCGAAACGGCGGCAGGTCGAGAACTATATTCGGCGATCAGGGAGAAGAGGCAACGGTATGCTGGCGAACTGACTACACTGCGTGAGGAATTGGATAAAGCACTCCGAAGGAAGGATTTCGAGTACGGCCAGGAGCTTGAGGAGATGAAAGCGCATCTGTACAGGAAGATTGGACTTGTGGAGGAGAGTGGGAGAATATTGAGGGGCGATATCCAGCGGCTGAACGGCGAAGTGCATGCGCGGCGGGAGGGGGGGGAGAAGAGGAAGAAGAAGAAATATCTTGGACGGACGGCGCTGGGGATTGGGGTGGCGACAATTCTTGGTTTGACAACGGGTATTTTTTTTTGAGTTTCCTTTTATTCTTTCTTTCTTTCTTTTTTCTTAGCCGCCCTCCTCTTCCTCCCCCAGACGAGATCGACTCTCGGGATGATGAGGTCTAAATTGGTAAAACTTTTGTTGTCTTTTTCTCTTTTCCCCGCCTCCATGGATCGGACTAGGTTGGATCACGGTTTCATCTCGCATGAGGAGTTTGTTAAAAATGCAGAACAGCAGGATTGGTTCTTGGAATGATTCCCCTTTCTTTGCTGAAGATATGTTGCTTAGTATATATATAGCGTAATGATAGCTATGCATGATAATGATTGCCCACTTTACTAGTTATACCTTTTTGTTATTGCTATGTTCGGCAACAATCCTATCAAGAAAGTGGAGCGATGCCTTGATGTGGGATATCTTTTCTTTCAGTTATTATTTATTGGATGTGAATAATATACAAAATCTTACTAGCGATATTATCCATTCCGTAGATTAAACATCTTGCAGCTCTATATGATTCTCCTCATTGAGCAGAAAAGGAGGTCGCGCCATGACGTAACCACAAAGGTCAGTGTTGTGGTGAAAAACCGAGCCCCAAACCTCAGAGGATATAGGTATTCATTTAACATCTCTTCTTAATCAACTGATCTATTACTTGATGAATTTAACTGAATGGATTTTGTGTACAGTATATTATATGTTCTTTAATCTTTCTAATCATAAAGATTCAGTTGTTGTATATTTTTAGATATGAACTATGATTCAGAAGATCTGAGAACGGAAAAAAGTTTCTTAAGTTGAGAAAAATACGCATCCGAGTATTAAAACATAAGAGAACCTAACCTGATCTGTGAAGATCATCGCTCGAACCGGAGCGCATATGCTCTGGAATAAACCAATTAATGATTCGACCGTAGGGCTTAATGGGCACAGAAATCACCCCACATTATGAAGGTTTTCTCATCCCATGGTTCTATTGTAGCATCAAGAAAGAAGTATGAAAATGAATAAATTAATGTCCTAGAAAGAGACCATCTAACGCTCAGTTTAATGTAAAAAAACCTCATATTTGATTTATTTTAGAAGAATTGAGGGGGGAGAGAGAGGAAGAAGTGAAGCCACAGGCAGATAAATAACAAGTACAAAATATGAAACAATGCGAGAAAAATCCGCTCAGCAAGTAAAGGAGGTTAGTCTGGTCTGATTAGAATCTAGATAACACAAATATACAAAGTAGAAATTGAGAGAAGAATTGGATGTTAGTGTTGCGGTTAGTGATTTAAGGGGTTGTGAGTTGTTCTATCGCTCTTTCGCACCCTCCCTCCTTCTCTCTATTTTCTATCATTCTATCGATACGATTGGTTTTGTATTTCTCTTTTTATCCGTGAAAAACGGGCGATGTGCTAAAAACAAAGCCGGAAGCAGGTCAAGAGCAGGTTATGTAAGGGACATCCTGTTAGTTTTCCAAAAAGAAAAGTAAAAAGGCAGAGGGAAAAATCAAAAAGAGACAATCGAGATGTGGATGAAGGCAATATTAAGATGAAAAATTAAAAAGAAAACGAATATGTCGTTCTTAAAAGGAAAGGCCATCTAAGAGAATGCAAGCAAATAATTTTTCATTAGAGGATTTATGTGTGAAATGGGAAGTATGCAACGACGCCGCTGAGGTAAGAAAGAAGGTCGACCAAGAGATTTAGATAAATAATGAAATTAATAAACAAAATCTATGGCGTTATGGCAAAAAATTTGAGCAAAGAGACGGTGCTGAAATGAGATTTGGGGACGGGGCAGCAAGAGGAGGATCACTGATTGGCTGTATAGCCTGGTCAGCGTGGTTGATCGATGCGAGGAGCCGAGCCAAGGGCAGGCGATAAGGGAACGCACAAAGTAGGCTTACGAGCCAAGGGGAAGTAAAAAAGAAAGCGGCTAGAGATACTGAAACACGACATGGATAGGTGGACCAATATACACACCTCTGTCTGCTTCATCATGTTCATGCAGCACCACCAGGCAACGCCGCGCCCTTGGGCACCTTGATCCGGCCAAAGTTCTCATCCAAATCAAGAATGAGTTTCAGCGCGTTCCGCGACCGGATATACGGCAGAGGCCCTGTCGCCCGCTGACCCAACCCCGGCTCGATGTGGCCGATGGGAGTAACTTCTTCTGCATGACTGCCAGGAAGCGGTAGCCATTTCTGCAGAACCTCATAGGCAGCAAGCGTAAATCCGAACTGCGGTGACGAGCGGAAGATACGTGCCGGGCCGCCTTTGAAGAACGCGCGGAAGCCTTCGTCTTTCATTATCGTCTTCGCGCAGTGG